TTGTTCTCCTGTCTTCAGATATTCGGTAGACATCAGTCCCTTTTGTATCTTCTCTCGAATATAATGACAATCATCCTCTATGCTTTGTTCTCTCATTAAAGACTGTAATATTCTCAATGTGTACAACATCTTGGCTAGCGCACCACAATTTAACACACAATGGTGTATTCGATCCAATTTCACTCAATAAATGGCTCAAATTATCACATCCAAATTGTGTCATGGTCAAACTTGTTATAAGTGGCCATTAAGCGTCAAAGCCCAGGCAAATGCTTGACCTATGCCTGGCTTTTGAGAAGGGTCTGTGCATGAGAAAGCCTATCTTTCTGATCGCTTTACCTGTGCGATAAGCAAACGCTTTTCATTGCTTTTCACAAAAAAGCGGGAATTTGAGCTGTCTATTTTTTTTTTAAGTTTTTTTTAGTTTTGTCAGCTTGTCGATAGAAGTTAGGGTTATCAGAAGAGTCGTTCAACACTTTCAACACTCTGGCGCGTGCGCCATGCGTCATGTGGCGCGCAAATCACCCATGCGCCATAAAAATAGGTTTGCGCTGAATATACCACTGGCGACGCCATTCTCTCCCCTTCGCCATCGCCATGACGCTGCGCCATGTTATTTAACAAAACAACACCTTTTTGCGCATGAAGTGCCGAAGCGATGATGGGAAAATAGCGATCACTTTAATTACCTGAGGTGGGAAAGGGCTTTCAGCCTTTCTTTTAATTTATGTTTGAGCCTATTTTTAATAATAAGCCCATATTTATTATTTAGCCAATCCAAATAATAGGTTAAAACAACCAAATAATAGGTTAAAACAACTTAAATCCATGTTACACCCTTTTAAGTCATGGTAAAAGTCTTCTATCGTGACTTCGTCGTTGAAATTGCATTGAACCATCAACCCATAGAAGCCAGCAACCCATAAGGTGTCTTCTTTTTCATCATCTTTCTATGTTCTTTTTTCTTTCCTTATCAAATTGTAGTTTTCGTTCATGTTGATCCTTTCTTTATATTCTTTCAGTCTATCTTCTTTCCTTACTTTTATCACTTCTGAACATTTGCATACTTTATAGTTTTCCTTGCTTCTTACCATAGTAGTCAATGGCTAGATATGGCGTGCGCCATATGCGCCATCGCCATGAAAAACTGGTCGTCGCCATAATGCCATATGCGCTTTATGCGCCATGCGCCATGCGCCATGAAAAATGCCTTTGAGCCATGGCGATCGCCGTGCGCCATGCCCACTATGCTTCTTACATATTATATACTTTATACATAGTAGTTCTCTTTGCTTCATCTTATTGCACAGTCTATAACTCTATATTGTCTTATTATCATTTCATATTCTAATTGTATAAAACTTCATACTCAGTATATTCTAACTCAGTTAATAGTTTCATACTGAATATAATTTAAACTATTTTAACTTCACATGTTTTAGGTAGAATGTTGTTATTCAACTTTTTTTAACTCTGCCATGAGATCATTTTTTGGTATCCAGTATAAAGGAGGAAGGTGTTGTGATAGGATCGTGACGGCCAACAGTATCAGTGAGTCACATCACATGACATGAATCAAAATATGGATAGCGCTACAGCTAGGTCGTCGCCCGTAAGCGACACGTCATCCCTCTGCTTGGGGTGGCGTCAAATATGCAAAGGAGTGCTACACTTCATAGGTCTGGGTGTGGTGATAAGAATGTTAAGGCTGCTAGGTCATCGCTCGGAAGCGACACGCCACTCCAATGCCCGGGGATGGTGTCAAATATGCAAGGGCATGATGGGGGTTGATATGGTGTCAAGAAGAGAAGGCAGGGTGCTAGATTGCGTATTGGGACATGGAATGTTGGCTCTCTTACGGGAAGATCATCTGAGATAGCCGAGGTTATGAAGAGGAGGAATATTAGCATAATGTGCATGCAAAAAAACTAAGTATGTTAGAGAAAAGGCACGTGAGATTAATCGCGGAGGTTTTAAGCTGTAATATTCAGCGAGAGAGAGGAACAGAAATGGAGTAAGTATCATGGTGGCACATGATTTTGTTGAGGGTGTGATGGAAGTCTACAGGAAGAACAAGCGCATTATGGCATTAAGTTGATAATCGGAGATGAGGTCGTGTTTGTGGTAGGTGCCTATGCACCACAAGTGGGATTGGATGCATCTATCACTCAACAATTTTGGGATAATCTTGAGGAAGTGGTGCGACGAGTGCCAAGGGGAAAGAAACTGATCATAGGAGGCGACCTCATCGGCCATGTGTGCCCAAGTTGTGATGGTTTTGAGAGTATCCATGGCGGGATGATTTTGACACTAGAAATGGAGTGGGGAAGAACATTCTGGATTTTGCCTCGACATATGAGTTGGTTGTGATGAACACTTGGTTTAAAAAGAGAGACTCTCACCTTGTGACCTAAGAAGTGGAGCTAATAGTACCTGAATTGATTACTTTTTAGTACGGATGACTTGGAGAACCAGTTACTCTGATTGTAACCCAGGTGATAGTGTTGTCACTCAACATAGGATGCTTGTGCTTGATTTTCAAGCTAAAAAGAGAAGGCGGGTTAAGGTACAAGGGGAGCCAAAGATAAAGTGTGGAGGCTCAAGGGGAATCTCGAACAAAGTTTTGCACACAAAATGTTGGAAGAAGATGTATGGTCCATTGATAATGACGCACATATCGATGATGTGTGGTTATCAATGGAGTCCACCATTAACAAAGGGGTGAATGAGATACTCAGAGAATCTAAAGGTTGGTTGCCACTAAAAAAGGACACATCTTGGTTGAATGATGAGGTGAAACAAACAATAAGGACCAAAAAGGAAGGTTATAAGAAATCGGTCAGAAGTTGGAGGAAAAGTGAACCAGGAATTGTATGAACGAGAACATAGAGGAGTACAAGGACGCCGGAAGAAGAAAAAGATATTTACAGATTTGCTCGCCTTCGTGATCGCAGGACTCAAGATATCGAAAAAGTTAAGTGTGTGAAGGATGTTGATCAAAGGATACTAATGGAGGATGAGGAAACAGAGAGGTTGAGGTCATACTTTGATACCTTGTTCAATGGGAATTAAGTCCAAGGTATTGATGATCTTACTATACCAGAGTGTATGGTAAATCGGGACTTCGTGAGAAGGATCCTAATTATAGAAGTTAAAAGAGGCCATGAGAAAGATAGGGCAGAAGAAAGTGGTGGGCTCAAATGGTATATTGATTGAGGCTTGGAAAAGTTTGGGAGAGAAAATCATTGAGTGGCTAACACGTTTCTTCAACATGATTTGGAGAAACACCAAAATGCCAGTGAGTTGGCGGAAGAGTACTCTCATTCCCCTATTTAAAAATAAGGGTTATGTACAAGAATGTGTCAATTACTGAGGGATTAAGCTTATGAGTCACACCATGAAACTTTGGGAACGAGTGGTTGAGCAAAGACTTTGAAAAAGTGTGAAAATTTCGGAGAATCAATTTGGTTTTATGCTTGGACGCTCAACAACCGAGAGCATTCACCTGTTTAGAGTTTAGACAAGTTGTGGAGAAGTATTGAGACACTAAAAAGGATCTGCATTTGGTACCTTGAAGAGGGGCTTTGGTGGGCCTTAACTAAAAAACGCATATCGCATAAGTATATCAGTATCATCATGGATATGTATGAGGCTTGTACTATGAGTGTCCGTACTAGTGTAGCGAGGACCGCAGAGTTTCCTATTACTATCGGAGTGCACCAAGGATGAATTTACAAAGTCAATTCAAGAAGATATACCGTGGTGCATGATGTTTGCCGACGATATGCGTCTTCTTGGGTTGGATGAGAGTATGGATTTGGAGAGGGAAAGTAGAGGACGCACATTCGGGTGGACGATTGATTTCTTTTTTGTCTTTCCTTTCTCTTTTCTTTCACCGTTTATTTTCTTTATCTTTTTTTGCTCTTATGTTATTTTTATCTTCTAGATTTTTATGCTCTTTTATATTTTTATCTTTTATCTTTCTTATAAAAGAAAGATACATCCGACCCCCTCTTACCCCACCGTAGGTGGGAGCCTTTGCGGCACTGGGGTAAATGATGATTGATTGATCTTTATTATACTCATATGCTATTGTTATCTTATACTCCCTCCGGTTCTGAATTAAGTTCCTGGTTTGACTTCACACATATTAAGAAATAAATTTGGTTTTACTGTGGAGTGCATTGTTTGAACACTGTTTGGCACTGTTTGAACACTGTTTGGCACTGTTTTGGTGTAAATCATTTGCCAAATAAGGAAAGGTTTAAAGTAGGAACTTTAATATGGACCATCCCAAAAAGGAAAGTAGGAACTTAATTACGGGACGGAGGGAGTATTTATTTATATTTGTCGTATTCGTTTTTCTCTGGTCTGTCTTCTCTTTATGGAATCGATATCATGGATCGATTCATGTTAGTCAACCCCAAAATCCTTTGGGATTAAAACTTGGATGTTGTTGTTGTTCTACTTTTTTTTTTATCAATGTTTTGGTGGTTGGGTGATACATTATAGTGGCTATATTTGTCTTTTAGTTTTTTTTTTCACGTGGCAATGCCCGCCATTGCCATCATCATGGAAAAATGCTTGTTCGTCATGACAACTTGCCGGAGGTGAAGAAGCTGCAGGTGAAGAAAGAGGCAGAGAGTTCTCCCAGACTTCCCTTCGGACAGGAATCACCAACTTGCCAGTGAGCCGTAGGTTGTCTTTCATCCAATAGTGTCCTTGCGCTTATTTCATAAGCTTCTTTAGTAACTTTTCATTAAGCTTTTTTCAATGAGTTGGCCTCATCTCTCATTGTAAAGTTTATTAATGTCATTTTCAATTTCTACGTCATGTTGTCGTATATAATCCACCTATAAGCTAGCCGATTAATAGCTTTTTAACCAAAGTTCCAAGCGGGCTCTAAAAATGCCCTCTAAAATGTTTCAAAAGATAAGTGGTTGCAAATGCATATCTACCTACACATTGAGTCATTGATATTATTTGTTTTTACTCCACAGGTGTACATATATTCGAGTGGTAGCAGATTGGCACAGAGGCTCTTGTTTGGCAACACAAAGTATGGGGACCTGAGAAATTACCTTTCTGGATTTTTTGATACAACAGTGGGGTAAATTTATGCCTTTTCCAAGCAATTTCTACTTTTCACTTAATTGTATTAAAACAAGCATTGCATTTTGCTAATCTGTGATTTTTTTTGGGTTCAGGAACAAGAAAGAAACAAAAAGCTATATTGAGATTACACAGACCTTGGGAGTGGATAACCCATCAGAAATCCTGTTTGTCACAGATGTATATCAAGAAGCAGCTGCAGCCAAATCTGCAGGTATTTATTTGTCCATGTTTGCATATTTCCTCAATCTATACCATTGATTCTTTTAAAACTCGGATCGGTGCTTGACTCGTTATTAGTCAATCGATGGTTGAACCGCAGCTGGATTTGATTCAACACTAATTCCTTTCAGTGCATTTATCCTGACTGAGTCAGTAGCACGTCCAATCCATGAATTAAGTCAAATTGGACATTCGTCTGATTCGCAGACAGCCCGGTCCTACCCGGGTTTTATAGCAATAATACACATTCTTTAGGCATTCACTATGGGTTCATTTAGAACAGGAAATACCTTGGAAAGCAATTATGGAGGAATTTTTCCAAGGAAATAAAATTTCATTAGACTTTCAATTTCCCGAGGGCCAAGATAAAACCAAATATAAGAAAATATTAATAGCCCTTCTCCCGCCTTAATCGAGCTTTTCCAGGATCCCAACATACCCTTTGGATCATAATCATTTGCATACACACATGAGGTGTGTTTTTTGAAGAAAATGATCTTCCTCATGCTCATGAAGAAGACATTTGGATCACAGAAATTGCCAGGGAAAGAAGAGCTGCTAAGGACGTTAATTTCTTATGCCTGGTTTTAATTTGGAAAATTCAAAGGGAAGTGAAATATGATTTTTTCCTCGTATATTTGTGTGGATATAATCCTAATAGTTGAGTATTAACAAATGCCTAAATAAAAGTATTGAGCTTGGGTTAATCTGTTTACTGTCCAAAACCAGAATTTCCTTCATCATATCTTCTCTAATAGTCTAATTTCATTTCTATTCCCCCCATACTACAATTTGCCTTTCTCTGAACAGAGCATAGGGATAGAAGATAATGAGTGCACTTGTTTCAGGTTTGGAGGTGATCATCTCGGTGCGCCCTGGAAATGCACCTCTACCTGAAAACAATGAGTTCAGGATGGTGAAAACGTTTGCAGATATCTGAGATGGACAAGAGTACGTACGCATAATGCGATCAGAATTGGAAGCTTAATAGATGCTTAGTAAATGTTTGATCATCATCAACGTAAATAAATGGGCATTCCCCATCTCATGTAGTAAACTTTGATGCAAGGAAGAGGGTAACAGGGCTGAATCAAATGCGTGGGTTTATTGCGCCTCTCTCGCAGAACCTGATGGTGCATCTGGGTGGGATCAATCAAATCAAAACAGAGTCTTTAATAATTGAATTAAAATGTTTCACTTTGTGCGAGGTTATGGTTCACCAAAAGTATACGCACTGAAAGCGCATTCTCTCTTTCTTTATTGATGGAAACCACCATTTTCAAGGGTCAGTTTTGGTGTTCGTTATCATGAGGTCAGTCACATGATCGAATCCTAGAAAAAGAAATTTTGACATTCTTTCAATTTATATATAACTAAAAAATAGAAAATGTAAAATACCAG